GGTGTGGGCTGGCACAGGCCTGGAGCAGCATCCCTGTAAAGGGCCAGCAGGTGGGATAGGTCTCTGTCTCTCCTCTTCCTGTGCTGGTGCCGGGCCCTCCTGCCTTCGGAAGTTGCTACATATCTACAGGAAACCCAGAGCAGGAGTGGGAAGCAGAGAGGATGGCTCTGATCCCACACTGGATCATCAGTCCTGATTGCCCAAGAGTTGCTTCTATTTGACAGGTAAACATTTGCCCTAAAATCAACTGCCAATCCTGATTGTTCAAGAACTCTTGTGAAATTCCCAAAATGTTTAAGGTCACTTTCATTAAAAAAAAAAAAAAAAAAGCTTGTAGTCTGTCTTATGAGATAGCCTGTCATAGTATCAAGCAAATGACAACAGGCATCGCCGTTCCTGAATCTGGCTGGAAACTGCCTTTAAAAAGTCATAAAGACGGGGGCGCCTGGGTGGCTCAGTTGTTAAGGGTCTGCCTTCAGCTCAGGTCATGATCCCAGGGTCCTGGGATCAAGCCCCGCATCGGGCTCCCTGCTCGGCGGGAAGCCTGCTTCTCCTTCTCCCTCTCCCTCTCCCCCTGCTTGTGTTCCCTCTCCCTCTGTGTCTCTCTCTGTCAAATAAATAAATAAAATCTTTAAAAAAAAAAGTCATAAAGACATTGGCTTGATGCTGAAAACTGAGAAGCAAACTCATGACCACTGTGAACCCGGGAAGTCCAAATAATTTGGAACATGACTAACATTTGGGAAAACACTTGGGCAAGTGTCCAAAATGCTGAGGGGAACTGAACTGTGATCCATACCCATCCTCCAGGTGGGAGAGAATAAAACAAGAGTCCCACAGCTTGTTGTTAAAGACTGGATTACAGAACCAGAGGAGAGAAGCACAGCTGCCAGGACAGATCTGAATTTCAGTTCATCATCTGATTTTAGCAGCATGCAATTTTCATCAAAACCAACAATTCTCAGCAGCTGAGAAAGAACGTGAGAGAGCACGAGAAGGGCCAAGGAAGGCAATGAGGGGACAGAGCAGGGAAGCTAGGGAGGCTGCGCCCAGGTGAGGCCAGAGCCCGTGGGCCCCAGAGGAGGCGCACCCTGGGGCTGAAGGAAGGGCTCCTCCGCTCCCCTCGGACCCAGAAGGCCAGCCTCAGGCGAATTCTGACTCCCGATGGACTGTCTCTCACTGCCCGCCCTCGCTAAAGCCAGGCTGGGGTCGGGTCTCAGGAGGGACCTGCCTGTCACCCAGGAAGAGGCCACCCTGCCACAGATACGTGGCTTCTGTTTTCCAGGAGTGCTGGTGGTGACAGGATGATCTCTGCACATTTTTTGGCCAGGTCCCCACCGGCAGCCAAGGGCACGCCCTTCAAAGTGGCTGGGGCAAGGGCTGCAGAGGCCCCCCCACTGGCTGGGTCCCCTAAGCACCCAGCCCCCGTGCAACTCCCCTGAGGCTCTGGCTTGCCCAACTAGGCAGCAGCACAGGCCCACTGCGCGCCCAGGCCTCCCAGCCACAACCACGGACCTACAGCCCCTTGCAGCACATTTCTGCGGCGGAGCCGTAGCAGAGGGAGTAAAACTACGGGTAGAGCCGGACACCGCAGGAGACACCGCGGTGAAGCCTATGAACCAAGAGACACAAGGCTCTCCTCTGACCTGTCAGGGGCAGCTTCTTAAGGGTGCAGAAGGGAAAACAACAAAAGCCAGCTTAGACCCATAGGGAAATATAATCTGTGATTATAAATATTTCATGAGCAAAGAAAGTGGTACTGGTTGAGACACTGGGGTGGGGAGGGCGGACAGCAAATTAGATCCCAGTTTGCAAAGTGACAGGGCAGCTGGAAAAGCAGCAAAGCTGAGGCTATTCTGGGCTGTGCGCTGGGAAGGCCTGCGTCACAGAGAGCAGGCTCCGGCCACTCGGCTTTGTGGAAACCACAGCCTTCCAGTGGTCAGCAGAGAACACCTTGGGAGGGGTGTTTAAGCCCACGGAAGACCAGAGGAGGGGACAGTGAGGATAGTCATTTGAATGACCTGGGTAGGCTGTGGCAGAGCAGCAGGACCCCGCACACTCGTGACAGGATCCATACGCTGTCTGCTCACTAAGGGCACAGGAAGGACTGAGCCTGACCCCAGAAGGCAAGGGGCCTGCAATGCAAGGGGGCAGCTCAGGAAAGAGCAAAGGCCCAGCCCCTAAGCAGGTGGTGTCCGGCTGAGAATCGCAACTCTGCCTTCCCTTCCAGAACAGGGGTCTCTTCTCCCTGAATCTTTGGGAAGCAGCCTGGAAAGCAGAGCAATGAGGAGCTTGCTGAGTACCAGTGGCTGCAGCTGGAGAGACACCCACCACTGACAAAGCAGGGCCCGGTCTGGGTGGGAGTCCTCCTCCTGGGCCACGGTCAGCCACGGCAGCAGAGCAGGCCGGCCACAGACTCCAGCAGCCTTTGCGGAGGGCTGGAAGGAAAGGGATGTTAGCTCCGAAAGCACCCAGGGTACCTTGAATCAAGCTTAGTCAGAGGAACCCTGGGGCGGGGGAAGCAGTGCCTGCCTCAACCAGGAGGACAGAAAACTACTAGTCCTCGCTTCCTTGCAGTCAGGACTTAGCAGGCAACAGGCTCTAGGATCACAGCTAGAGAATCAATTCAAGGTGGAGAGGACTCATCAACCCCAAAAGTAAGACCCCATGTTGTTGTTAGAAGACCCCTCAGTTGTAAGTCCCAGGAACTGACTTCAAGACCAGCTTTACCACCTATTAGTTTTAAGACCCCATGAAATGACGTTACCTCAGAAACTCAGTGTCCACATCTAAAACACGGACCCGTGCCTGCCAAACCTAAGGACTAGGAGGGACCCAAGAAGAGACAGATACATAAACACTTTCAAAACAGATACTAAGTGCCGCTCCAGTTATGAGATCATTTACATCCAGCTACTTACTTGATACCTCCGGGATGTCTCAAAGGCACCCCCATCCAGAGGCCCCCAACTGCTCCCTCTCCCACCCAGACTGCTCCTAGGGCCCTGCCCCCTCGATGCTTGGTAGGACCAACCATCCAGGCGTGGAAAGCCAGGAACCCAGGACCCATTCCTGGCCTTCCCAACGGCGAAATGTACCACCGAGCCCAGTGAACTGAGCCTCCTCGAGGTTTCTACTCCCTTCCTTCACCACCATCCCCACCCAACTCGTCATCATCTTCACAGGGTCTGCTGCAAAGCCTATGCTGGCCATTCTGGCCTCCCTTAGCCTCTGTCCACAGAGCAAATCTAAGCAAATCTCCTCTCCCAGCTCCCCTACCCCACATGCTGAATACTCCCAACAGTATGCTGATGCCCTCAGGACAAGGAAAGCTGCCTGGCACTTACAAGGCCCTGCACAGCCTGGCCCTGCTTCTCTCCTGCCCTCACCCTACACCACGCTCCAGCCCACTCTCCCTGCTCCAGCCACACTGGCTTTTTCAAGTCCCTGGTGGGTATTCCATTCACCGCTGCCACAGGGTTTTTGCACGTGCTCTTCCCTCTGCCTGGAATATTTTTCCCTCCGCCTAACTAACGCCTATCCATTTATTTCCTTCCCCTCTTCCCCTTTCGAGTCCACACTCCTCCCCAGCCCCAGGTAACCAGTATGCTTCTATCACTTCTAATCATTCCTCGGAAAGCAGCTGATGCAACCCTTTCTCGGGGAAGCTGCCTCCAATCCCTCAGAAAAAAAGTCTACTCCCATTATCACAGGCACTTTCCCACTTGAGGATGTGCATCCGAGTACTTAGGTGATCTGTGTCAATTTTCCCTGGGAACACCGTAAGCTCCGTGAAGGCGAAGACCTCATCTACTTGCACTCTCCGTTGTTCTTCAGGACTGGTGCATGCAGAGTAGTAACAAATTAGCTAATACCTCCTGAGTGCTTATTATTGCCAGGCACTTAGAGGTACTATGTCACTGAATTCTCCCATCATTCCTACCAAGTAGGTGCCATTATTATATCCCCATTTTACAGAGGAGGAAACTGAGGGACAGAGAAGTTCAAAAACTTGCCCAGGGGTGCCTGGGTGGCTCAGTCGTTAAGCTTCTGCCTTTGGCTCAGGTCATGATCCCAGGGTCCTGGGATCGAGCCCCGCATCGGGCTCCCTGCTCAGCAGGAAGCCTGCTTCTCTCTCTCCCACTCCCCCTGCTTGTATTCCCTCTCTCGCTGTGTCTCTCTCTCTGTCAAATAAATAAAAATTTAAAAAAATTTAAAAAAAAAATTAAAAACTTGCCCAAAGTCAGTAAGTAGTAAGTGGTGGAGTCAGGATTCAAACCCAGGCAGTCTGGCTACAGAGCCTGTGTTCTTAATCATTATGCTATTCTACCGCTGAGAGGCCACTGGAATATACAATGAGCGTGTGCAAAGGATATTCTGAATGAATAAATGAAAGGATTTATAAATGAGTTGATGAGATCTCATTAAAGGAACTCAGGGAGCCCCCAAATCTTCCCCCAGATCAACAAATCAGTGGACTCACCCGCACAGGCCCAAGATCAGGTCATCTGCAAAACAGAAAGGCTAATCCATTTCCCCAGCAGTCAAGGGAAGAAGCTTTCTACTGCTGAACACACAGGAGTGTTCTGGTCCCTCACAGAAGGTACCCCCACAGTAAAGAAAGGATCACTGCCTGGGTTCCATTGAAGCCTGAAGGCAATGTTCCACTAGATGGAACAAGTCCCTCTGCCCTTATTCATGCTAACCTGCAATCTTCATAACCATTTAATATCTCGAGCCCTCCAACACAGAAAGAGGATATTCTGAATGGCAAAAAAAAATTAAAATAAATAAAAAAGCTTGCCTGGTGAGAAAGTGACAGAGTCCAACTGTACATTACGAATTTGGTTTGTACCTCCATTTTCCAGAGCTTGATAATCCTGGATGAGCTCATAGGCTACCTCATGCCATCGGTGTGACCAGACAAGGCTAGGCCACCTTTTAACTGCTTCGGTGCCACTTACCTCATGACCACATCCCAAAAAGCTCAGGAGGAAACATACATGAAAAGGTTTATTTTTTCACAGGACACTGTTCCCCAGCCATGGGGCCCCAAGTTCCCTCCCATGAGTCCCACCGCAGCCAGCGGCCTGAGGCCTGATCACACAAAGTTCTGAGCAATGGCCAGGACCTTGGAAAATTCACCTTCCCTCTGGCGTAGGCTGGTGGGGATGGGTGTCTTAATTCGGGTCCCCACAGGGTTCCCATTGTCCTCAATGAGGACCACATTGTTGGAGTCAAACCTGGGGGTCATCCGGGGACCGGGCATGCGATGCCCCACAATGAGTGCCTTTTTCTTCTGTCCCTTGATGGCCAGCAGTATCCGGTCGCCCACCTTGCCCACCCCGTTCTTGTTATAGACGTGGATGCAACGAGGAGGGCGATGGTATGGGGTATTCCCCAGGGCACTGTTGTCCACCACACGGACCCGCGTCATCTTCTGAATTGCACTGAGGCTCCCGGTGGTGCTGGGGAAAGAAAAAAAGTCTGAGGTCTGTATCTCTCCTGGTCAGGGTGCAGAGGCCTCTGAGGACAAGGCCTGGGAGACATCACACGTTAGCAACAACGCACTGAACAGAGCAAAACCCAGGGCCCTGACAGAAAGTCAGGTGCTTGCGAAGACTTCTCTGTGCCCAAGACAGTTTCCTCACAGTCAAAAGCTTCTGCTGCTGGGTCAACATCTCGATTTGGAGGGGTTTTAAATAGAACCCAATTTTCTGTTACAACGAACTTCATGGCAGCCTAACTGAAAGCCTTTGGTATGCAAAAGAACTCTGAGAATTAAGGGACTATTTTACGGGCCAGGCCTCACCTACAGCCTAGCCTGTAAAGCCTGCTCCCCCAGAATACACTGATTCCCAAACTTCCCGTCTATGTGTTGCTGGGAGCCAGACGATATGAGTGAGTAGGCTTGCTAAGGGAGTCCCCTGACATAAAAGAAGAAACCAGAAATAAGTCAAGGTAACGATCTTTTGTCTCAGTGCATTTTTCCCCACTAGAATGGAATTTTTTTTAAAGTGTACCTATTAAAGGCAGATAAGCTATTATTAAGCGTCTGATAACAGTGGGATTTCTATCTTCCTGATGCCAGCACCTTAAGTGCTACATTCTCCAGGGTAACCCTAGGCTCTCCCCTCGTATTCCACATGCCTACTCTGGGGCAATTTTATTGATTCCCTTTGCTTCCAACTAGTAAATTCCACCTCCAGCCTTACTTCCCTCCTGTATTCTGGCCATGCTCCCCACATGTCCCAATGATACCGCAGACTCACTAGGTCCCACACTGACCTCATCACCCACCTCCCCATGCTGCTGCAGTTCTTACTTAGACAATGGCTCCTCCAGCTCCCACACTGCAAGCCTCTCTCCATCAGCACCCCGGCTGCCAAGCCCTATTGACACTAGCCATGAAGCCCCTCTGTCCTCTCCCTCCACCCCCACCAACACTTCCTCAGTTTGGCAGCTTTCTCTCTTACACCAAGACTGTTACATTAGTGTCCGAACTGGTTCCGTGTGCCTCACGTTGCCAGCCAGGGGCTCTCTTTTAGAACATAAAGCTGAGAACACTCCCCTTAGAACTGTTCAGTGGTCCAGCACTGTCTACACTGTCGACAACCTGGCCCCCACTTACCTGCCGTCTGAGGGCCACAATCTCTTACCACTGAGCCCCCACCCCCCGGAGGCCCGGCCGGGGCCTGCTCCCACTTCCCTTCTGCGAAGGCTGCCTCTGCGCCCCCTTCCCCCTCCTCTGTTAGCAGCCCGTCTCAAGCCATCCAAAGCACCCTACAAACCCCTGTTATTATACTGGTCACATCTCCTCTGAGCTATTTGTTTCCAAGCTTGCTCCTGTGGCCAACTGTGAAGACTCTTTGAGGACAGGAAGTGATTCTTATTCATCTATGAGCAACCCCAGGCGCAGTGCTCAGTAAATGCCAGGGAGTGAGTGCACGAATGGGGCCAGGAGGCATGTCTGCCAATAATAACGCACCCCGTGCTCTGTGTCCCGGCTTGGCGTCTAAAAGGAGGTGAGGCTGTCACACTTCTACCACGCCTGAGTTTTGGTAATACACATGTAACATTTTAAAAAGAGATTCTGTTTTTAAAAGAGAAGGTTTTCCCGCACTGGGGGGATGACAGGGTCGAGAGATGTTGGAGTCACTGCAAGAATCCGGCAAGGACTGAAGTTTCCTCTACTGTCGGCCATTCCCTACCCCACCTCCAACAGCAAGGTCACGTCCTTACCAATCCTCTTACCAAACCCCAGCTGCTCTGGCCCGTTCAGCTTTCCCAGATGCCAAGCCCACCTCTGTGAGTTCCAACTCCCTTTCTAGTCGCATAACACCCAGCCCTGATGGGAGGCTCACTCAGAGACACAGCTCTAAGAACCAAATGGGAAAGTTACCTGAAACTGCGCTGGCTGAGCGCTCTGCTTGCATGGGTGAAGGGGCCCCAGAGCCCAGCACAGAAAGCCATGGCAAATCCTGCAGGAAAAGAGGGGGAAAAGGTTTATTTCTAAGTCAGTGTCCTTACTCAGAGCCAGCCTGCCGGGGACTTGTGTGGGAGATGGTACTTCTAGCATAAGATCATTAGTCACTAAATATAAATCTCAGTGGTTAAAAGACTCGCAGATGATTAGATGGAACTCCAGCTACAGTTTTGCTGATTCATATTCTAACTGGGGTCAGAGAGCTGGATGGCCCACAGCAGTTCTTGCTATAATACAAGAGCACAGAGATGCCTTCCTGCTTACATCATTTCCACAGGCAGGAAGAAAGCAGGAATCCTCTGGTATACACCCAACCAGTGACCCCTCCCCAAGTCTTCCAGAGAGGAAAGCCTGCACGCTAGTGCCGAGTGCCTCCTGAAACCAGAGCTTCTACCCCCTGCAGGTAGATTACCTGAGCAACTGCCACATTGTCTTGTCACCATGTCACCTTTCCCCAAATATAAGCACCAGAACACCTGGGTAGCTCAGGGCTAGCCAAGTAGAGCCAAAGGATACTCCTGCCAAGCCACTGACCAAAGCCTCTATTTGGGTCAGTCTCCCCAACAACAATATACACAGAAAAACTACCTGCCCCCCACCATAGCTGAAAGCGGAATTTGGGAAAGCAAGTTGAAGACAGAAGAACAAACACCGACCCAACACCAGGGCCTCCAACTTGCAGAACCCCAACCCTGCGGCTGGCTAGCACCAACAAATACAGCAACCCCAGAGGCCCACAACACCCAGGCATCACTTAGGGGCAGGCTGAAGAAAACCCTACAGCCAAGAGACAATGCCAGCCGCAAGACACGCCTGCTCTAGCCCCGCGTTTGGCTGCAGAGGGCCTCATGGAGAAATCTGCTGAGAAAGACCAGACAAGTACCTTACGGTACCATCTCATTTAAGCCTCACAAAAACCTCTCCGAAACAGGCCTTAGTGTTAGGCTCACTTTACACATGAGGAGTAATTCTCTAACCAGCAAGGTGAAAGAATTCGCCCACGGTCACACAGCCAAGAGCTTCCTGAACCCACGCTCTTACTCAACAGCTAACACGGTTTAACTTTAAATATTAGTATTTTTCCAGGGCGCCTGGGTGGCTCAGTCGTTAAGCGTCTGCCTTCGGCTCAGGTCATGATCCCAGGGTCCTGGGATCGAGCCCCACGTCGGGCTCCCTGCTCCACGGGAAGCCTGCTTCTCCCTCTCCCACTCCCCCTGCTTGTGCTCCCTCTCTTGCTCTCTCTGTCAAAAAATAAAATAAAATCTTAAAAAAAAAAAAAAAAGGGCTCTGAAAAGCAGTCCGTCTGGTCCAGGCTGCAGTGACCTCTGATTTCAGCCAAGCTTTCCCATCTGATGCTGGCAGGCCCTTTTTCTCATTCCTGGGGAGAAAAGAGGCTCCTCAGCTCCTCCACAGAACCCTCAAGATTAGCCCAGCACCACCCACTCACATTCCCTCTCCTGAGAACTGCAACACCCTGCCTCTCCACACTGCACCTCTTCCTCAATAACACTTATGTTAGCCAAGGGCTGCCGAAGTGCTGGGGGCTTCCCAGAACTTTCCCGACTTGGGTACAACAAACCCACGATTCAAGGCACCTCTCTAAAATCTGCTGGGCAGCCTGGGCACAAACCCAAACCTAAACCTCCTCTCCGTGCCTCGTTCACAAGCCACCCCCACAACCTATGCCCGTCTCTGCCTGGCTAAATCTGAGCCAGCGCCCAACACATCTCCCCCAGTAAGCCTTGGGCAAAACTGCAGCATCACTTGCTACCCCCTCCTGCACACTGAGGACATCTGGGGATCCCGTGCCAGAGGAACTCTCACAGCTCCAACGTTCACTATCCAAACTCTGGCAACTGCATGCATTTGGATACTTGTCTTCAGATAAGGCTGATAACCCTTCACATTCTAGTTCTAGCTACTCATTCTCCAAAACTCAGGAGCCAGAGGTCTTGGTAACATGGCACTTGAACTCACACCAGAATTCAGAAATCACAGAGACTCAGATCACGAGGATGATGTGTACTGCCCTCAGACACAGGAGTAATACATTCACATCTCCAGGGGGTACTTCCATTTTCACAAGACGAGGTCCAATCCAATCCAGACTTTTCACTAGCTCTTTAGTGGATCTGATGGTGACCTCCACACCCAAAGGACTTAAGACATCAAATGGACAGCAGTAAGCATTCCCATGAACATAAAAGCACAAAAGAATCAAATATATTCACTTACTATATACATGTCCCTTCTTTCTTTTTTTTTTAAAGATTTTATTTATTTATTTGAGAGAGAGAATGAGAGAGAGAGCACACGAGAGGGGGGAGGGTCAGAGGGAGAAGCAGACTCCCCGCTGAGCAGGGAGCCCGATGCGGGACTCGATCCCGGGACTCCAGGATCATGACCTGAGCCGAAGGCAGTCGCTTAACCAACTGAGCCACCCAGGCGTCCCATGTCCCTTATTTCTTAAAAAAAAAATAAAAAAACAACTGTGGTCCCCTCCACTCCCATCCCAGCAAAAGACCCCAGCAGCTATTGAAAGAGTAGGAATGCAAAGAATATTTGTTGAATAAAATAAATGAGGTAACCAACAGAAGAACAGATTCCCCTCACCCATGGCTCTACACAGAAGGAAAGCCAGACGATGCAGAGCTCTTATCTGCGCATCAGGAACCAGGACATCACATGCAAACATGCTTTAGGAGAACCACGGTGCCAGTCATGGGAGGATTAGCCCATGCCAGGTTTACAAGCCCCTGGAATCATCTCTTGGGCCTGGTGCCTACAGTACCCGTTGTGGAAAATCACCTCATCCCACCACTAAATAACTGGCTTGGATCAGGCCAGAGTAATGGAGGCAGCAATTTACTTCAAAGCAACTCCGATTGACCTTGATGTTATTTCCCAGCATAAATCCATCAGCAGACACAGGCCCTGATTCACTTTGGAGTAGTCTATATACATAATGCTTTGTTTCACAAGCAATGTCATTCTGAGTCTTGTGTTTGCACAGGAAACTAACCCAAAGATATTTCCTCCTCCACAACACTCTCACTCAGAGGCCAGGTACTCTGGAGACTCCAGTGCCAGAGATGGCTTTTCATGCCACTTCCTGGTCAGCACCAAGTACTGCCCTCCGGGTTTAGAGTATGAATCACAACCTCTCTGGAGAGGGGGAAGGGGAAGCAAGAGAAGGAAGGAGGGGAGGGAGGGAGGGAATGAAAGAAAGAGATTACTTAATACAATCCAAGAATTGTACTCATTTTCCATCCTGGTTTAGCTTTAAGATCTCCCCTTCTGTTCTGAAGGCCCTGTAAGTTTCAGGGACACATAGGTGAGCTTTTTACTCGACATCACTTTATAGGTCCCCTTGGAAATACACTCGGTGAGGGCAGGGACCAGGCCTGCATTGCTCATTGCTGCACACTCAGAGGACTCAGTGCAATGCACATGAATGGAGTTTACTAAGTATCTGTTAAGTGAATACAATTCAATCTGCAATTGCAATTCATGCTCCAGCTCCAAAGAGCCTCCGTGCTGGGGGGTTGGTGGTCTTTCTTGTGTCCTTCACTCAGGCTCCTAGTGACTTGGGAAAGCCTCCTTAGACACAGGGAACTCGTGTTTAATGAATTTTAATGCACAGAGACTGAGCTGGAAAAGCAGACAGAAAGAGTCTATACCTCTGGTGCTTTGTAGAAAGCAGGAATATACCACTACTTGAGCAAGGAACAGCAAAATGGTATACTTAGTATCATATGTATTCATTGTTTCCACCTAAACTATTTCCATCTTAAAGATGCCTGACGTTTTATGTACGTTTTTGTTTTTTAAGATTTTATTTATTTATCTGACACAAAGAGACAACAAGAGAGGGAACACAAGCAGGGGAAGTGGGAGAGGGAGAAGCAGGCTTCCTGCAGAGCAGGGAGCCCGATGTGGGGGCTGGAAGGCAGACAACGACTGAGCCACCCAGACGCCCCTGTTATGTACATTTTAAAGGCCTCCCAAAAGGATGGGCTCCAAAGAAACAAACCAAAAAAAAAAAAAAAAAATCAAAAGTTCAGCACAATCACAAAGCCATGTTCAAAGCACATTGTCAGTAACTGAAAAGAAAAGCCATACAAATGCAGGGCCCAGTCACAAAAAGGAAAAACACCTAGGGTAAGGATAGAAATGTCCTTTTTTTTTTTTTTTAAGACTTTATTTATTTGACAGAGAGAGAGACAGCAAGAGAGAGAACACAAGCAGGGGGAGTGGGAGAGGGAGTAGAAGGCTTCCCGCTGAGCAGGGAGCCCGATGTGGGGCTCGATCCCAGGACCCTGGGATCATGACCTGAGCCGAAGGCAGACACTTAACGACTGAGCCACCCAGGCGTCCCTAGAAATGTCCTTCTTAATTAAAACAGGGAAAAGCAGAAGCCTATCAGCTTCCAGGAATCAAAAAAGGCACTCCCTGGCCCTCTGCCCTATCATGCAGACATAGGCCCTCCCATCTCCTGCAGGTGTCACCCCAATCTTCCTGTACCTGTAAGTACTCTTATTTGTTGCTTAAAAACTCATTACTGTTTTATTGTACAGTCTCTTTTAGGAAGTTTTGTGGGTTGTTTTTTTTTTAACCTCACATAAGTAGAACATGTTAAAATTCTCGAAGTACTTTCATAGATCATTTTGTTGGATGACTCCCTTTTTTTTTTAAGTAATCTCTACACCCAACGTGGGACTCGAACTCACAACTCCGATATCAAAAGTTGCATGTTCTACTGACTGAGCCAACCAGGCACCCCTGGATGATTCCCTTCATGAGCACCCAACAGAAACCTATAGACAAATAATAAACAGCAACAGTCTGCAAAGGGTTGAATCTGCTAAAGGTTTTGAATAGTTCTGGAGGCTCAATCAAGTACCATTTTGCAGATGAAGAAATGAAGTCCAAAATGCTAAGCAACTTGTTGACTGTCCAAAGTCGGAAGTCTGTTTCTATTGCACCCTAGACAGACAAGATGGCTGCTTTAACCACTAATAAACTTCACAGAAACAAACACACCACACAGAGGGTAAGCACTCTTTCTCCTCTGTCAAATCTTATAAAACTCAGGAATTAAAAAGCTGTCCTTTTTTTTTTAATTAAATTTTACTTAGTTAACATACAGTGCAATATAGGTTTCTGGAGTAGAATTCAATGATTCATCATTTACAACACCCAGTGCTCATCACAAGTGCCCTCTTTAATACCCATCTAGCCAATCCCCCATCCACCTAAAAGCTTTTTTTTTTTTAAGATTTATTTATTTATTTAGATTTTTAGAGAGAGTGTACATGCGCAAAGTGAGGGGAAGGGGGAGAGGGAGAGAATCTCAAGTAGGACCCCCCTCTCCCGCTGAGCACGGAGCCCCATATGGGGCTCAATCCCAGGACCCTGAGATCTTGACCTAGAGCCAAAACCAAGAGTCTGACACTTCACTGACTGAGCCACCCAGGTGCCCCTGTCTTTTCAGTAAATATCTGCACTACACCCAGCCCAGCCTAGGACCAAAGCTGAAGCTGATCGGATTCATGCCAAGGTGTCAGTTTTCACAGCATCACTATCAATAAGCAAAGCTTCCCTCCATGGCACAGTGGGCTCTTTCTACCAAGGCCACCAGCAAGGACCCCATTTCTCAATTTGATTCACAAAGATAAAATGTTTCCAGGGTTCTTGTCCCATGCTTGTTTATTTATTTACCTTATGCTCCACGTTGTTACAAAAGTATTTAAAACAGAGGTTCCTTAATATACATGCCAATTCTCAATTATTCAAATTGGTTTTTCAATGTGTGGATTTTATCTATTCTAGCTTTGCTCCCCCTTCATCCCTACCTCACAGGTGTGCAAACACCTACAGTCCCAGAAATAAGTCTGTAACAATCTAGGTATGGTCAAACTCAGGAAAACCATACAAGGCAAAGTTAACTTCTACTTAATCACATACACATTTCCTTCCCATTAGTACCTCTACTGGGCCACTGGCAAGGGGCCAGGTTTATGGAGTTGTCAGGTGGGCAGAAGAGAAAAGGAAAATCCTACGGGAGCCCCTGCACTCCAAGACAGGATGCTGCTGATGAAAAGCATATCTCTTCCACCTCCATTCTCTGGGACCTCAGCAACTCTGTCAAGCAGGCATCCAAGGGAAGAGCAAAGAGGCATGCAAATGAAAATGCTTTGGCTTCGCATGAAAGGGGTTGTCTTCAAGTGGGGAATCCCTCTCTGAACTAACCAGTAGGGACCAGGTCTGCAGCATAATCAGTTTGTTTCCCAGATGTTGACCAGTGAGAAGAGCCTCACTCCCTGATTCTCAGGGCAGCACCAAGGGTGTGTCTTTAAAGATCCCTCACTCCTGGGGCACCTGGGTGGCTCAGTCAGTTAAGTGTCTGCCTTCGGCTCAGGTCATGATCCCAGGGTCCTGAGATTGAGCTCCACTTCAGGCTCCTTGCTCAGTGGGGAGTCTGCTTCTCCCTCTCCCTCTGTCCCTCCTCCTGCTCATGCTCTCTCTCAAATAAATAAATAAAATCTTTAAAAATAAATAAATAAAAATAAAGATCCCTCACTCCTAAAAGTGTTTTTCACAGGTTAAAGTAGACATGACGAAGTGCTCCTTCTCTTTTCTAAAGACACAAATGATTTTTAGTTTTTGACAGAGGGACTTTCCCACTCTGAGTTGTTTCACTAATACATAAGCTACCTGGTGCCTTTCTTAACAAGAAAGTGTATTATCTGACCCAGAGCAACACTGCTGGACTCTGAATCAGTCCACTCTTACAAACCGGTTGTCATTGCTCATACACATGTACAGTCGCACCAGGGTGAGCTATAACCCAAAACCAACCATCAGCCTCTAAAATAAAGGCTAACTTGTAATCTGATTTTGGAGACCCTCAAAAAGAGACCTTTGGGGCCCCAAGTCCCCCCATTTCCTTAAGAACTATCCAAGTAACAAAAACAATAGGAAAATCCATTTTATGTGGGTCCCCCAACACAAAAATGGGACAAGATAGGCTTAAAGGGACTCCTACATCGTCTAAGTTTCTGAATGTTGAGGCGAGTCTAAATAATCACATACAGTGCCAAACAGAGTGCCACCTGAAAAATGGACTCCATGCCAAGGTTTTTACCCCTGATATTCAGGAGCAATAATAAAATATTTTGGCCACTGTTTCTTCATGGATTTCACAGTGCGTTTGATTCAATTATCATTTCAGGCTTTTTTTT